GACCACCGTACTCACGACCAGGTGAGTTGCCGATATGTATAATAACATGGGTTCGCCGATGTTCGGTGCGGCCAGGATTGGGTTGCTCGCTAAAAGAGCCTTTATTTCTTCCAGTCCGGCCGTTGCTGTGTCCATCTACTCGAAGTGACCGGTGCGTCGGAGAAGGCGATAAAGTGGCAGTGCTTTTTCTCCTAGTCTGGAGATAAAGCAGCTTAAAGCTGCCACACATCCGGCTAGTTTTCGGACTTGTTTAAGGTCCGTTGGTGACAAATCTCGGATTTTAGCTGGGTTCGCCTCAATTCCTCTATTGGAAACGATGAAGCCCAACAGTTTTCTAGAGGGAACGCTGAAAACACACTTTTCCTGATTGAGCTTGATGTCATATGTATGGAGGTTGTCGAATGTGAGAGGCAGATCATCTATTAATGACTCGACGTGCATAGTTTTAATGACGACGTCATCTACATACGCTTCTACTGTCTTGCCAATCTGTTTCTCCAGGCATGTTTGAATCATGCGTTGGTAGGTGGCACCAACGTTTTTAAGTCTGAAGGGCATAGTGTTGAAACAGAATGGCCCATATGGGGTAATGAATGGTGTTGCGGTTGTTTCGGACTCCTTCATTTTGCTTTGATGGTATCCGGAGTATGCGTCGAGGAAACACAGTGAGTTGTGTCCGGCTATGGCATCAATAATCTGATCGATGCGAGGGAGGGGGAATGGATCCTTAGGGCAGGCCTTGTTGAGGTCTTTGAAATCGACGCATAGGTGCCAGGATTTATCCTACTTTGGTACCATCACCAGGTTTGCCAGCTAGTCCGGATGTTTTATTTCTCTGATGAATCCAGCCTCGATTAACTTGGCTAGCTCCTCCCCCATAGCTTTTTGCTTGGGTTAGGAAAAGCACCATAGTGTTTGCTTGACCGGTTTATATCCCTTGAGTATATTTAGGCTGTGTTCGGACAACCTGCATGGGATTCCCGGCATATTAGAAGGGTGCCAGGCTAATATGTCCCACTTCTCGCGCAGGAACTCTCGTAGCGCGGCGTCAACTGTTGGGTCCAGTTGTGCCCCAATGGATGCTGTCTTCTTGGGGTCCGTCGGGTGGACTTGAAATTTCACTATTTCATCTGCTGGTCTAAGGAGGTGGATTTGGGTCGCTTGTGTAGGATCACATCATCCCTATCCACCATGGAGCGTAGTGCAGTTAACTCTTCGGCCGCGAGGGCTTCAGACAATGCTTCGAGGGCCAGGGCTGCGGTTTTGTTTTCGGCGTGGAGTGCTATGTCCGGATCATTGGCAAGAGTGATGATACCATTGGGCCCGGGCATCTTGAGCTTCATGTACCCGTAATGAGGTATAGCTTGGAAGCGTGTAAATGCATCTCACCCTAATAAGGCGTGATATCCACTGCTGAAAGGGGCCACTTGGAAGGTTATCTCTTCGGACCGATAATTGTCCGGTGTGCCAATACCACATCGAGTGTGATTTTTCCCGCACATCGCGCCTCCCGACTGGGAATGATTCCTCAGAAGGTCGTGCTACTTTGCTCAATGCAGCTTCTGTCTACTTCCATTTTGTTGAGGGTTTCCTCGTAAATGATGTTTAGTCCGCTGCCGCCGTCCATGAGCACTTTGGTAAGCCAAAGCCGTCCACGATTGGACTGAGGACCAAGGCGGCTGGTGCCCAGACTGTCCGGAATTTTGGTTCGTCACCGGCATTGAAGGTTATGGCCGTGTCGTTCCAGGGGTTTATTGTTGCGAGTTGGCAGACTTCAGCGAGGCCGCGGAGTGCCCTTTTGCGCCTATTGTTTGAGGTGAACATCTCGAAGACCGTCAGTACTCTGAGGTCGTCGTCTTCCGTGGGTTGTTGCTCTGCGGTATTTTTGGTGAGGAGATCCTCGCCGCTCTTGGCCACTTGCTGGAGTATCCAACATGATCTAAGGCTGTGGGTTGGTATGGTATCCAGTGTTGTGTGTATTTTGCATGTCCTACCGAGCCATCCCTCCAGAACGGTTCCGCGCCCTGTAATGGGCTTCGGTTTCTTTACTATTGGATCGGGCGACCCACGAGGGTGCATCCTTTTAGACCGGACGAGGGGTTGAGTGGAAACTGGTGGCTCCCAGGGAGCTGCCTAAGTTTTCCAGGCGCTTTCCATTGCGCAGTACTTCTGTACTATGGTTGCCAAGTCAGCGAAGTGTAATACGCGATAGCAGTTAATGGCATTGAGGATTCCTTCGTCCGTGAAAGTGTTACAAAATAGTGAGATCGCGTCTTCGCCGCGACAATCTTTGATCCTGTCCTTGACAAGGAGGAATCTGGCGCAAAAGTGATGGACCGTTTCTTGGGACTGCTGTCGTATATACATAAGATCGCGTGTATCTGGGTGGGTGGGTGGGTTTAAGTCCGAACCCTGACCCAATTTGGGATCCAGAGTTTGAGAAACTTCCGAACTCAATAGTTCGGGCTCCGGGATGTCAACTGATTTTTCAGGCCCGTTGTCCGATTCTAGGTTCAGAGGGCAGGGCGAGTTGTTCCGCAGACGGGTATCCGGCTCTTCAAGCCCGAAAATCCGAACATAGTTCGTCCTCAATACTGAGGAGGGGAGTTGTTGTTGCGCTCCTCGATTACCACTACCTGATGGGTGATCGGTGGAGATTTGATCTCTCTCTGATCGGGTTTAAGCCCAATCCGATCATAGACTGTAGTGACCCCCAGTGTAGCGATACGATCAAGGAGTTCGTTTAAAGACGACAACTCCATCGGATCCATCCGTTTGGAGTGTTTGGAGTCAACATAGAGGCGATTTTCGATGACCCGAGAAGTCATCGTTGGCTCGACGGCCGAATGGGCGGCCATGGTAAAGCCGCCCAACCGAAGGGTTTGACCTAGGGCCAGAGCTCCTCCGGAGGTGATACTGTCCTTGACAACAAGGCGAGCCATCAATCCTATCTTGGAGGTCACAGCGGAACTCTCAGTGAAAGCACCAATGTCGGTGTCAAAACCGGCGGATCTCGGGTAGGGGGTCCCGAACTGTGCATCTAAGGTCGATGGTAACAGGAGGCGGGGGACACGATGTTTACCCAGGTTCGGGCCCTCTCTATGGAGGTAATACCCTACTTCCTGCTTGATTGATCTTGATGAATATGAGTATTACAAGAGTTGATCTACCACGAGATCGTAATGGCTAAAACCCTAAGAGTCTAACCTATATGATTATGATTGTGATTGCCTCTACGGACTAAGCCCTCCGGTTTATATAGACACCAGAGGGGACTAGGGTTGTACAAAGTCGATTACAAGGAAAGGAATCTTCACATCCAGGCGCCAAGTCTGCCTTCCACGCCAAGGGGAGTTCCATCCGGACACAGGTGAGAGTCTTCGGTCTTGTATCTTCACAGCCTATCAGTCCGGCCCATGTCAATAGGCCGGACGCCCGAGGACCCCTTAATCCAGGACTCCCTCAGTGACTCCTCGTCGTCGTGGGCCATCGTGTCGGCCGGGGACAGGATGTCGAGGCAGGCGGCATGGTAGGAGCAGCGCAACACTCTATTTTTGCAAAGTCAGATGAGGCACCAACTTGGGTCCCGCTACGACCCGACCTGATAGAGTCCCGGGTCCGCGACTGGTCTGTCACTACTGCCGAGAAGGCCGTGCAGCGTCGCTGCCGCCTCGACGGGGAGCTTGCCAAAATCGACGAGTGTGGTCGCTAAGCGACACCTTCGCCGTTAGCAGGGGTAAGGCCGCCTTCAGGGCATAGCGGCCGGGGTCGGCATTGGCCGCGACAGCCCTCCGCACTGTGTAGGAGGAAGTGGAGCGGCTCCTCCATGAGCGCTAGGCAAGGTTGTCGTGCCCCGCGCCCCTCCGCTGTTGGAAGGACTACTCCGACGACGACGACACCAGACGGCAACAGTGGTGCGGGACGTTAGCGTCCGCTACGAGTTAGCCTCCTATATTTTCCTTTTAAGTTTTCAGTTAAATGGACAAAATATTGTTTGTTTTATGTAAACTATGACTGGAATTTAGTGAATTTCATCCTGTTTGATGAAATTTGTCTGGCTCATACAAATTTGTTTTAAAATGGATGTGAGCACAGTTCTCCCTTCTTAATTAGTACACCCTCCGTTACTAAATATTTGCCTTTCTAGACATTTCAACAGGTGACTACATAGAGAGCAAAATGAGTGAATCTACGCTCTAAAATATGTCTACATACATCCGTATGTGATAGTCCATTTGAAATGTCTAAAAAGACAAATATTTAGGGACGGAGGGAGTAGATGAGATAAATCTTTTCCCTCTGTTTAAGGAAAAGAAGTAATGTGATGTGAAAGGAGGCCGGCCAAAGGTTCAGGGACCAATAAACATAAAGCGCGGAAGAGGTAAGCAATGTCTCCATCTCAGTATCTCACACGGACCACAAAACCTAATCTATAGTTTACCGGCCGCAAGGCCAATCTGATTGCAGAGCCTGCTCCGGCCTGAGCTGCTATATACTAGCTCATTCGACGTTGACACGGAGCTTGCAGGTCAATGTGGCAGGCAGACGTAGTACAAGATGGAGTAGTATTTTAGTCAGAATCAGAGCAGGAACGCAACTGCTTCAACCGGTTCTTTCCATTTGGAATCAATCCATGCGGCAAGGTGCGTCCCCCCCTTCGGCCGAATCGTGCCCGGCGGCCTGTCATCGTGTCCTTCCGTTTGGCCGAGCGTGCCCGGGCTGTCATGGCGTCGTTTTCGCCATGGCCTAACAGGGAGGGAAGACACGACAAGGCATCAGCAGACGGATACGGCGCCAAATAAACTATTCTTCTTCCTGTAAATGAAACAGGTTGTGCACGCCTATAAAACAGTTCTTGCTCGCATATTGCTAGCCATCGCATTCCCACTCGACCGGCGTCTGGAGTTTGGACTTTGGAGAGTGTTGTTTGATCCACCTCCGGTCGCTCCCGCTTGTAGTAAGAGCAGAGTCGATCGACGCACCGGCGGGAGGCCAGCAAAATGCCGACGACCACCGTGGAGGACTTGCCTGCCGACGTGCTGGCCTACGCGCTGCGCCGACTGGACGGCCCGTCCCTGGCCGCCGCCGGCTGCGCCACGGCAGGCCTCCGCGCTCTCGCCGCGGACCCGGGGACGTGGCGCGCGCTCTGCCTCGCGCAATGGCCGTCGCTGGGCCTGGAGACCGAGCAGCAGCGCAACATCCTTGGCTCCGCGGCCGTCTCTCCGCAGCGCCTCTTCGCCGACGCCTTCCCCTTCCCCTCCACTTCCACTTCCACGGATGCTGCCGCAGCCGACCAATGTTTCCCCGGCGAGCTGATCTCTGCCGTCGACATCTACCAGAAGGCGAAGGGCGCGCCCCGGCCCCTCTTCTCTCGGTTGGTGGAGACCTCCACGTCGTCCTCGTGGTTCCTGACATCGCCCTTCCGCGTGGACGCCGTCGAGTGCAAGAACCCGGTGCCGGTGCGGGCGGCCTCGTTCTCTTCGGCGGAGCTTGAGCTGAGCTGGATCGTCGTCGACCCCCAGAGCAGCCGGGCGGTAAACGTGTCGAGCCGGCGGGCAGTGGCCGTGGACAGGCACTGGTACACCGGCGAGACACTGGTGCGGTACGCGGTGGTGCTCGGCGGGAGCAAGTTCGAGGCCACGGTCACCTGCTCGGAGGAGGCCGGATGCCTTAACGTTAGAGACGTCAGCCTGACCGTCGAGGACGCCGACGGCGCGGCGGTGAGCGGCGAAGGCAGCCTGCGGCTTCTCGCGGCCGCGATGGAGGGACCGAGGAGCAAAGCAGGGGAGAGGGAAAGAGACGAGGCCAGGAGGATGTACGAGGAGTTCGTGAGGAGCAAGAGGGGGAGGAAGGAGTCCAAGGCGAGGCGGGAGGTGCTGGTGGACCTGTGCTGCTCCGCCGTCAGCGCCGTCGCAGTGCTCAGCTTCCTCGCCTCCGTCCTGCTCCGGTAGAGTCAGGCAGGGTCGGGTCCGGATATCTGTGCACCTCGTGAAATATGTAGTTTTTCCACTAGAACAGACGATCAAAAAAAGCGCAGAGATTTGACTACTGAATACTGATAGTGAAGCGAACAATCCTATTTTTCTGTACTGTTGGTCCCGAAAATTCAGGGAGTGGAAGGTCGCACGGTGCTCACAATTTAACCATGGTGCTCTTCTGAAAAAGTACGTAAATATAGTCACTGGGGAAAGGAGGCTGTTTTTTCTACCATGCACGGGGAATATCGTGCATGGCATCAACTCCATTATGATAGAGAACACATCTACTTCATCCTATCCCCTACCTAGATTCTCCCTCTCTCCTCCAATCACCCATGCATTTTAAGTTTAGTCCCAAATCCAAAACCGTCTTAGCTTTTAAACAAAAAAAAAGCTTTCTGATATGTTTACGTATTTGCATTCCTAGTGACAAGATCTTTTCAACAAGACTAACCATGAATATATTTTCATCATTTTTGAATTATGAATTTTGAAACTTGATGAAACTATAAAAACTATGATTTTTAGACTAACCAAATTTGTCTTCTTTCATCATGTTTTGGACTTTATAATGTTATATATTTTGTGTCGGCATACTATTTTGCTTTTACCTTATTCTGGTATATTTAATTGTTTCACACACCATTTAGTACATGGTTCACTGTTTCAAAAACTCAAAATTCAAAATTGCCAAAACATACTAAATATTGACCTTGTTTCAAAGATATTATCCACGGATTTATCCTATATTTATTTTAAAATATATGGTTGTTTGAAGTTTAAGAATGAAAATAAAATCCATGTACTAGTGCGGAGGAGAGAGAACTATTAGTTGGGAGAGAGGAATGGAGCGCATCGACCTAGCATAGTCTGCAGTAGCATTTGTTGTCAGATGACTTTAAATACTCATGGCATACGCCAGGTCTCAAAGCACGGTGAAAATACCACTAGGCCAATACTAGCTCAAATTCTGAAACTGAGTACTACTGCTAGTACAATTTTTTCGATAAAAGGCATTTTATTGACTCAAAATGTAGCATCAAGCAAATATAAAGCATTATGAGTAACACACCTTTCTGCATAACTAAGATACACACAGTCAAACTAAAACAAACTCAAAAAGAGAAAAAGACGACATATCAGCAACAGTAGGATCGATAGGACCGACACTATGCCTATGTCGACGGAGGTGGTGAACCAATCTGGAGATATGCTACCACCCATGCTGGGTAGAGACCTCCCTGGCCACCCACTTCAACCGCATACACACCGCCTTGAACAACAGTTGATACTTCGTTGGGTGTAGCGTAGACCATGTACGAAACGTGTGCGTACATTGGAAAATAACCTGCAAAGGAGGGGTGTTTTTACCCTCAAAAATCAAATCATTTCTACATAGCCAGAGCGGCAATAAGGCATATGCTCCCACCCAAATTAGCGTTTTGAACTGATTGCTTGAATTTGCGTTGGTAATTCCCCGAAGAGGAGGGGATGGTGAGCACATCAAATGTAAGTATTTCTCTTAGTTATGAAACCAATGTTATCAATCCAGTAGGAGAACCAAGCAACATTATATAAACAACGCCTGCACACAAACAACAAAACTTCCAACCCAACGCGTGAAGGGGTTGTCAATCCCTCAACAGTATTGAGATTTGATAAATAGATAGATTGATAGATGCAAATAAAATAAAAGAAAATAAAATGCAGCAAAATATTTTTGTATTTTTGGTTGAATATATCTGAAAATATATGATAGAAAATAGACCTGGGGGCGTAGATTTCACTAGAGGCTTCTCTCAAGAAAATCACATATGGTGGGCAAACAAATTATTATTGGCAATTGATAGAAAATCAAATAATCATGATGATATCCAAGACAATGATCATGTATATAGGCATCACGTCTAAGATTAGTAGACCGACTACTGCCTGCATCTACTACTATTACTCCACACATCGACTGCTATCCAGCATGCATCTACTGTATTAAGTTCATGGAAAAACAGAGTAATGCAATAAGAACAATGACATGATGTAGACAAGATCTATTCATGTAGGAATAGATCCCATATTTTTATCCTTAATAACAACGATACATGCGTGTCATGTCTCCTTCTGTCACTGAGATTGAGTATCGCAAGATCGAACCAATCACAAAACACCTCTTCCCATGGCAAGAAAAATTAATCTAGGTGGCCAAACCAAACCAAAATTTTGGAGAAGAAATACGAGGATATAATAATCATGTATGGATAGATCTGGTCACAAACTCACAGTTCATCGGATCCCAACAAACGCAACACAAAATGTCATTACATCAAATAGATCTCCAACAACATCAAGGAGAACATTGTATTGAAGATCAAAAAGAGAGAAGAAGCCATCGAGCTACTACCTACGGACCCGTAGGTCTGTGGTAAACTACTCACGCATCATCTTAGGGGCACCAATGAGGATGATGAACCCCTCCGTGATCGTTGCCCCCTCCGGCAGAGTGCCGAAAAAGGCCTCTAGATTGGATCTCATGGTTCTGGAACTTGCGGTGCCTGGAAAAGTATTTCGTCGACTCCCCTAGGGTGGTGATTTTAGAGTATTTATAGAGGTGCAGGTCAGTGGAGAAGCTTCCCGTGGGCTCCACTACCCACCAGGGCACGCCTGGGCTCCTTGGCGCGCCTTGGTGCCTAGTGGGCCCCACGGGCCTCCTCCCATGTGCTTCTTTGGCTCCCTGGGTGTCTTCTATCCAGAAAAATCTCCAAAAAGTTTTGTGGAATTTGGACTTCGGTTGGTATTGATATTCTGCAAAGTAAGAAACAAGCAGAAAACAACAACTGGCACCTGGGTACTATGTCAATAGGTTAGTCCCAAAAAATGATATAAAGTTGCTAGTAAATGAGTATAAAACATCTGAGATTGATACTTTAATAGCACGGAACAATAAAAAATTATAGATACTTGGAGACGTATCAGCATCCCGGCCCAAGCTTAATTCCTACTCGTCCTCGAGTAGGTAAATGATAAGAACATAATTTTTGATGTGGAATGCTACCCATCATATTCATCACATATTCTTTTCTTTCTAGCATGGACATTTGGACTTTAGATAATTCAAAGCAATAGTCCATAATTTTACATGAAGACATCAACCTCAAGCATATCAACAAGCAACCATGTATTTCAAAATATCAACACTAAAGAAAGCTATCCCTAGCCCCATATGCTCAATCATTGATCCATTCATGAAACACACTCAAATATTAGCTACATCCAATGCACAAGTATGACAATAGTGTTCCCTAGTTGGTGCATTATAAGAGAAGATAGAGACTCAATAAAAATTGTATAAAAGTAAATAGATAGGCCCTTCGCAAAAGCAAGCAGAGATTTGTAGAGGCACCAAAGCTCAAAGCTTAAATTGAGAGATAAAAATTGTTTTGAGAGGCATGCTTTTCCTGTCAACGAAAAGGACCGAGAATTCCCAATAATTTCCAAGCTAGATAAATCATAGGCGGTTCCTGATTACCCACAAGTATATGGGATCAATTATAGCCTTTTCGATATGTAAGAGTGTCGAACCCAACGAGGAGCAGAAGGAAATGACAAGTGGTTTTCATCAAGGGAATGTCTACAAGTGCTGAAATTGTAAGTATCAGAGTAGTTTGATAGCAAGAAAATTTGTAACGAGCAAGTAAGAGTAGTAGTAACAAAAGTGCATCAAGGTAGCCCAATCCTTTTGAGTCAAAGGACATGCCAAAACGGTCTCTTATGATAAGCAAGGTGTTCTTGAGGGTACACGGGAATTTCATCTAGTCACTTTCATGTTCGCTACTTTGATAATTTGGTATGTGGGTGGACCGGTGCTTAGGTGCTGTTCTTACTTCAACAAACCTCCTACTTATGATTGAGCCCCTCGCAAGCATCCGCAACTACGTGAAAAGTATTAAGAATAAATTCTAACCATAGCATTAAATTTTTGGATCCAATTGGTCCCATACGGAATAGCGCATAAACTAGGGTCTAAGCTTCTGTCACTCTCTGATGTCTACTACACAACCTTCTTCTTGTAGACGTTGTTGGGCCTCCAAGTGCAGAGGTTTGTAGGACAGTAGCAAATTTCCCTCAAGTGGATGAGCTAAGGTTTATCAATCCGTGGGAGGCGTAGGATGAAGATGGTCTCTCTCAAACAACCCTGCAACCAAATAACAAAGAGTCTCTTGTGTCCCCAACACACCCAATACAATGGTGAATTGGATAGGTGCACTAGTTAGGCAAAGAGATGGTGATACAAGTGCAATATGGATGGTATATATAGGTTTTTGTAATCTGAAAATATAAAAACAGCAAGGTAACTAATGATAAAAGTGAGCACAAACAGTATTGCAATGCTTCGAAACAAGGCTTAGGGTTCATACTTTCACTAGTGCAAGTTCTCTCAACAATAATAAAATAATTGGATCATATAACTATCCCTCAACATGCAACAAAGAGTTATTCCAAATGCACTAATAGCAGAGAACAAATGAAGAGATGATTTTAGGGTACGAAACCACCTCAAAGTTATCCTTTCTGATCGATCTATTCAAGAGTCCATAGTAAAATAACATGAAGCTATTATTTCCATTCGATCTATCATAGAGTTCGTACTAGAATAACACCTTAAGACACAAATCAACCAAAACCCTAATGTCACCTAGATACTCCAATGTCACCTCAAGTATCCGTGGGCATGATTATACGATATGCATCACACAATCTCAGATTCATCTATTCAACCAACACAAAGTACTTCAAAGAGTGCCCCAAATTTTCTACCGGAGAGTCAAGACGAAAATGTGTGCCAACCCCTATGCATAAGTTCATTAAACCCGCAAGTTGATCACCAAAACATACATCAAGTAGATCACGTGAATATCCCAATGTCACCACAGATAAGCACGACAAGACATACATCAAGTGTTCTCAAATCCTTAAAG